ATGCACGTGTAAATCATGTTCGCGGTCCCTCGCCAATGTCTCGTTGGGGCTGTTTGAAAAATTTATAGCCACGGAACACGCCTGTTTCCGCGAATATTATGTATACACGCGCGTACCTAGCCCCGCGTTTTACACGTATAGAAATTTTCCTTGCAAACGAAATTTATCGAGGGGTGCTCGTAGAAAATTTAATCGGTTCTCCCGAGCAGAAAGAAGCTCGAGATTTTCCGCCGCTTATCTCGGGGGGTGAAACGCACGCACGCGCGCAACTTGCAAAATATATCGTATATGTATATTCTGCGTCCCCGTTTCAGCGTGTGTATACGTATCGCGGGGCAGAGATCGTTAATCTAGATACAAGGCTTCGATTAAATTTAATAAATGCCGCGCGCTCGAATTCCATGCCTCGAACACAACGGCGGCTATCGATATTAACCCCGTCCGATGAATATTAATGTTGTTATGCTTCCCGACTTGGTGGTGGCGAGTCGGTCCCACGGGTGTTCCCGAAACGCGGTTCGATTCATGTTCGTTCTCGAAAATTGAATGCGATCGAGGACCCCCCTTCAACGACATACCCTCGCAAGCAAACTTGGCTACCGCTAGGGGAAAAAGTGACGTAGAAGAAGGGCCACCTACCGTTAAATAAGTTTATTTCAGGTACTGAAATAAATGTTAAATCGTGTGTTAATTTGCAATAAATTTCAGTAATTACCGATATCAAGCGATAGGAGGCCTTTCCCCTACGCTACTTTTTCACCTAGCGAAAGCCGAGTTTGCTAGTGTGTGTACAGTTGTTTGCTGGTCCCGCGTTTTCGACGTCCTGTCGCGGTCTCGATTTACGATCCTCCAAATTAATTCATTTCTTCCGTTTTCCACTGTTACTCGGTCGGATCGTCGAAACCGTAGGTACCTATTCGACTTTCATCATTCGCCAGCATTATTTCGATAGTTTCCGCGTTGGTTCACGAGCGGTGAGTTTCATTCGATCGATTCGTAGGTCGGGGAGAACGTTTCCCCGAGCTGTGTATGTATTTGCCCGAGGGAAGGGGGCTATGCACGAGTTTCGTCGATTGTGATTAATGAGCCACGGCCAACCAAGCTCTCCTTTAATATCCGACCCTTTATATATTTGTACGTTTAATGAAATTTCGCTTGCGCAATGTTTGCGGAATGGGAGAGGGAGAGGGTGATAATCAGCGGTAATTAAACGTTGCGGAAAGCTCGTAACGTGGAGTTTCCAATATTTGTTTCGCGCCTGAAATTACTGTCGCGCTGAAATTATCTTTGTAAATAGAGAACGTAGAACCTTTGAAAAGATAAAGATGTCTGTACGATTCTTTAAGTCCCTTATCCATCAGATTTTTCCGTGAACTCGTTAAAAACCTTTCGCTGATATTCGAGTCAACGTTTGCTCTCGTCAGAGGGCCGGTTTGATATTGGACGGATTAAAAGCTTTTCTGCCCGCGGTGGATCCGCGTAAGCAGTTTTCCCCTCTGATTCACCGTGGGAAATCTGGCTATCGTTCGCGACGATGCTGCTCGGCATTTCACCCGCGTTCAAAAACGACGTTAGCCCGCCCCCCTCCCCTCTTCCGTTATTCGACGTCGAAATTGAGCGAGATGAAGCGCGTTAATCGTGGTCGTAGTTTGCCGAGGAGAATTAGCATAGAGTCCACTTCGTACGGCAGGACAGTGACCTTTTCCAGCCGATTATTAACTCCCCCGTTCGTAATAACACCTGGAACAGCGAATCGATATTAAGTTAACGGTCGTTCTTCGTAGCCCCTCGAATGTGTTTCGAGGCGAAATCGCGTCTGCCCTAGACGAGCCCCGTTCCGAATGATTCATCCTCGACTAGTTCCGGAGCGTCGGCCTGAATTTTCTGATTCCTCGTGCTCATTTCTGGCACATGCTCCCGCCAGTTACGTCAGCACCACTCTAATTAACGGCCGAAATTCCGTTAAATGCGACCATCAAGCGATTAGACGATCACGGACGTCACCTGCGCCCCCCACCCTTGGGCCTTTAACCTATCCACGATTTCTTCCCCGAATCCCTCGCTCCGCCCGAGGGACGGTCCCAACATGGAAATCGAATTAAAATTTAAATTAATCACTTCGGTGCGAGGGCTGTCGGCGGCCTGGATCGACACGGGGGCTTCAGGGACGGAACTCCGACACTCTGTTGCACCGTTGCTAAATCTTCCCTCTAAAATCGATTCTCGTTCGGTTTTCTTCAGCTTCGCAGACCACGCTGAATGCACAAGTGATCGGTACGAAAAATGATATAGAAACGACGCTGGTCCAGCAGCACAGTTTCCCTCGGGTGTTCTTTGTTTCGCCCGGTTAATCACGGTGTCCGGTGTTTTCTCGCAAACGCAGCCCCGCTTGGCTTAATTTTGCAAAAAACAAAAGGAAAAAACGACGAGTAACCGCCACGCGGCGTACAGGCTTTGTCGGGGGCGGCTGGGCCGGCCGTGGATTTAATAAGTTCGCGTTTCAGCGGTTTATACGGAGGATGGAGGAGGGGCGAGAGAGCCCGCGGCCGTCCGCTTTACACGGAATAAAATGCGACAGGACGGCTTTTTTTTTTCGTCGCCCTCGGCCACACTGTGATAAGCCGTTAAGCCCCGGGTGCAAATAAACTGGCTCCCGTGGTAATCCGATTTCCCCTTATTAATTAGGTCTCGGCCCGCGGGGCCCACGTTGATTAAGCGAACAGCAACTCCTTTGACGAGTCGTAATTCCAAAAAAATCCACCGTAGTCGAAATGAAAAATGTTTCAGAAACGCACCTCGAACCGTGGTTCCGTTTACAACGAATTCCCGGACAAGGTGGCGCAAGGTGTCTTTCGTATGCGATACCATCGATTTAAGAATCCCCCTTTGGTTAGGTGACCCCCAAGACACCACCTGTCGTCAGAAGTTAGGGAAGGGTCAAAGGAGGGCAGAGAATATCTTTGCTCGATCGATCCACGAAAATTTCCACCGACTCAGGGGTATCGTGGTCCCGTGATTTTGGGAAAGCTTTCCGGTGATCGCGAGCTGGTCTCTGTTGAAAATCCTTCCGACGTTCGAGTGGTCGTACTCTGTACCTAGCCAGCATAATTGCATAAATGAGTTAATACCCAACGTCGATTGAAGCGATCAGCTAGATTTTTTTCGTTCTTTCCACACCTTCAGGCGTATACCGTAATCTCAGTACTCTATAGAAAACTACCCCCTTTCCTTCGTCCTTCATTTTATAATTTTATACTCTTTGTAATTTCCCGCCCCGTACATGCATACCAACGATCTTATTATCCGTCGAACGGACAAATAAATAAAACACCATTGTCACCGTTATTATTCAGCCCCCCAAGGACCTGAACGACGAGTCTTCTTCGTTCTTGATAATTTCTACCCGGAAACTGCAAGGATTTCAGGTAACGGAAGATTTTTCATGGCTCCCTAATTGACATCCGTAAGATTCGCCACCTTCTCGGCGAAATTTTTCCTCTCAGCAAGCCGTGTCTCTTCGTCTCGTCCCCATCGCGATTCTCGGCCGAGAGGTACGTCCCATCCCACTTGCGGCTTCCGAATCCCGCAGCCGTTGCCCGCGAATAAAACGCGACCCCGAGCGGATATTGCTTTAGTTACCATACCATTCGGGGGCCACTCCAGGCCAGCACCTAGCCGACGACTGGTTCCATCGTTCTCGCGACTTCATTTATTTACCCAAGGAAGGAACGACCATCGAATGGGGATCGCGGACTGGAGAACCCTCGACGGACGGGGATGGACCGACGATGGGGACGTTTCATCGCGTTGAATCAATCGGCTGGTCGATCGTGAACGGAAACCAGAGGAGTGATTTGGGTCGACGATATTTTCACGGGACGAGGAGGAAAAGTGGGCACACACCGAGCTGGTTGCGCAGGGACGAGGGTTAGGGAGGAGGATATAGGCTGTGTGTACACGCGACGACACACCGACGGAAGAGGAAATGGATTCAGCCGCTTTGTGCGAGACGCTAACGACTTCGATAACGATGCCCATCGATTCCCAGTGGTCCTTTTAATTCGTCGAACCTTTAATAACGCCTACGACTGTCGTGAATCACAAGCAGAACGCGGCCCTTATCGTAGCTGGCGGGGTATACCCGAACGAAAGCGCGAATAGGAGTCTTGTGATTCCGGGCGCATTATCCGAAGTGTCCACAATGATACGATCGGGTGATCGAAATAATATTGTCCTGGACGGTGGGACGATACTTGGATTGTGATGAAAATTCGGAGCGTGTCACGAGATTGTTTGGAACTGCATACATCGGTGTGAAACTACCGACGAAGACGAGTCGGATGGACGGATGTCGTCGGGCCGTGTATTTCACCGAGTTATGTTTTCGTCCTCCAGGGAAGTGCGTCCAAAGTTTCTGCCGTGGGAGGCAAGGGGAGGGGAACGCGCCCGATAGTCATATACAGGGAACGTTTCGAGAAGTTCATCTGGAAATTCCCCGCGGGCGAGAAGAAAGGCATCGTCGGGGCGGTAAAGTTCCTGGCGAAAAGTGTGCCGAAGATACCGGAGCGTTCTCGATCGCGAACGGCCCGGTTAGTTTGTGCCTCATCGCCGAGAGGCTGAATCAATTTCCTTCTTTTTCTCCCTGATTGTTGTTCCGGATACTTGACGGCAGACGCTGGTAGAACGATCCGTCGAGATCCACTCGAAATTATTCACGCTTCGCCTGATCGTTGGTGTTTGAACGCTGAGATGAAATCCATTGGCAGACGCGTGACGATTTTACTCTCCCTCTCCCTCTCTCTCTCTCTTTCCCACTCCAAAGTGGATTTTCTTGCGGTTGAGGCGGCTGGCTGTTCGCCAGATGTTTTTCTTTTTCTACAAAAGGGGCGGGGAAGCGTGTTTGATTTTTGCTTTTTTAAACGGGCCTCGGTGCGGGATCCATTGTCGGTTGCGAGGGCTTTAATCGAATCCGAGTTTACGATCCTGTCTATTATTTGCAGAATAAGATGGAAGAGCACAGGTCGCGGAAGATTCGGAAGATCGTCGAGGGCCTACTGCCGAAGACCATGGATCCGAAGGACCGGGCGACGGAGACCGATCTACTGGTGCAATTCTGCTTGTCCCTCAGCAAGGTAAAGAAACCGTACGATACTTTATAAATAGACAGCGGATTCCATGCATTTATACATATAATATTCGATCGTTTAAAATTAAGTATAGTAAAACGTTTCAGAAGGTTTATTCCGGTTTACATACTATTTCAAACGTACTAATACCCCTGACAGGTAGAACAAAGAACTAGAACAAAGAACCTTGTATAAAAACTGTCAACACAGAGGACAGTTCGAGGTGGAAACTAGCTGCGAATAAGCTGCTTTAATCGAATCCGAGTACCCCGTGCACGCAGTATCTTTTTTCGAATTTATTCCATTTCCTTCCGACTATCTGTACAGCTAGGTCGGAGGGACGTATCGTCGTCCCTCTTACGTTACACACTGGCACATTCAATAACATTTCCCGCTTTCACGTGGCAGATATATCCGAAGCACAAGGACCTATACAATTGGGTGGACGTCGATCAAAGGGTGTACGTCCCCTTCAACATGTCCTATCTACAGGAGAGCTTCGGTTATGTGAGTAGACCGTTAATGCGAGACGCGATTAGCAGTACACGATATACAGGGTATCCCAAAAGGATGGTACACGCCGCAACATGCATACTCCTCGTGCAGATACAAATGAGAAAAGTCCTTTACCGTTTAGTAATCCGAAGCTACTTTTTCGACATAGTCGCAGTTAAATAAACTCACAATCAGACGTGCTCGCAGACGCAGTCAAGGAACGCACGACACCCAAGTCACTGGCCTCTAAATCTTGACTGTGTTACGTATGGCGCACCGCTCGGCTGATTGAAGTTCGTTTAACTGCTAATATCTCAAAAATGGAGCTTCGAATTACAACTAACGGTAAAGGACTGTTCGATTTGTATTTGCACGAGGAATATACATGTTGCGGATTATCCCATTTTTATGGGACACACTGTATATAGGTGAAAACACGACGAAAAGTGAGGCCTCGTAGCCATGGGTCGCCGCTGCGATTGGACGTAGAAGAAAATGATTTGCTTCGTTCCTGGGTTAGATAAGGTGGGGGACGCTGCTGAACGCCACTTTAGGCGTTGCCACTGCCGATCTCTACAATCAGAGCCGCGACCGGGATCGATCTGCTTACGGCCACGACGAACAGCTGGTCTACGTTTACGTTACCGCTCCCCGTTACTTCCGGAGCCTTGGGAAACTGCTGAATCGCTTCTCGAGAAGGTAAGTCGCGAATTTACGGGAGAAGCGAATTGCCTGGGAATAGTACCGTTACACGATACTCGATATTCCTGGTCAATGGGGTTGATATTTCCTCTTTCGGGAAACGGGAGGTCGGTTCAGATGGGATTCCAAGCGGATAGACCTTGACGCCACACCAGAGTTTCCCGATGGACCGAGTGGACGTTGTTACCGTTCGAAAGTTTGCGATCGCTTGCAACATTGACGGTCCACATAACTACCGGCAGTTTTCACTTATTCAAACGTTATTGCAGTATTTGTGTAGTCCACCGTACAGTATCAGCGAAGAATAGGGGCATAAAATATTATTTTTAACAGTTCGACTGCCACGTGTCACGTGAATATTGGTAACACGTACACTGCAAAGAGGCTGGGTTATTCGAGTAACGTTACAAAAGTTGCGCGCGAGATTAATGTAGTGGTTTAATTTAAAATAAGATCAACAACCTCTAGTAACTAATGGTATATATTTACGAAAAACGAAATAAATAGTGAACGTGTTGAAAGTCCACCATCCAGAAACAAAAGTCACCGCCATAAAGCTGCGTCTACACTATATGTATAGCAGAACTACTATATTAAAAAACAAATAAAACGTGTCTGGCCACGTACGGCCTTTTTCACTGTGGCAATCAATCTGTTAAATCTCGTACGTTCTGATCGCGGTCTGAACCGCCTGTTGTCTAGCCACGAAACGATGCGAGTGATATAAATTCCGGAGGCCTTCCATCTTCGGTGGTTTTCGATAAGAACGAATTTAAGTCCAGGCCCCGACGGGCCAGGAAATAATTCATTGTGGTCGAGAAGCAGGAAAAGAAGCCCCCCACCCACCCCTCTTGCTCCGTATCCGCCGCAGAAGGCAGAGTTGAATTCTTCTTGGTTCTTCCGCAACATTAAGCCCGATCCGCGGAATATTAAGGCCTCTGACCGTGTCGAGCTTAATCGAATTGCCACCGATTCCTGGCGCTGAACACGTCGATTTACACGAACGGTGGAAAAGCCCAGTTCGGGAATCGCGAGATCGTTTCCCCTGAATCGATTAGCTGCCGTGTGTAGAACCAGGTGATCATTTTCGTTTCCGCGGTATTCGAATATTCCAGGTCCGACAGAGCGCGGAGGCACGAAGAATTCTGGAAAATTTAATGCACCACTGATGCATTCGATCGCCGGCCTGGTGAATCATTCATCTAATGGACCGTGAATCCCAGGATTTTGTTTCCACGAGTGTTCATTTTCCCTTTTGACTCGGAAAAAGGCTTGAATTTCAGTTGCGTATCGCGAATTCCACGGTCGAGGAATAAATCTGCTCTAGTTAGCGGAGGGCCGTTCATTCGGTTCAACGTAACTAGAAATACACGCGAATCGATCGCGCGTTAATTAAAGCAAAGAGCGCGAATTATGCCCGCGAATGGAACGAATGACCATTCAACAGCTGCTCGGTTACCCGGTGGCTGCGCAAGAAGAACGATCCCTACGAAACGGTGTTTCCAGTAAAAAGCTGCCACGGGAGCCATTATTACCGTCGCCGCGACTCGTGTATTAGCCGTACTAGCGGCGTGATATTAAAAGTAACGACGACCGGTAATAGTCGTTACATCGACGATTTTTACGGTCACTACACCGCAATCCACCTCCGATATCGTCGCTGAAGTATTTTTTTTTTTTCGTTGTTTTTTACCGCCCCGAGATTCATGCGTACGCCAGTCCGTAACATCCTACGTTTATGGGCGTACCACCGCGAACAAATTTGCGCGAGAAAAATCGTAAGAAAATATTCAAACTTAATATAAAGGCACCATTTTCGCGTGGCCGACACAAGGTCAGGTTGCTTTTATCGAGTGATCCGCTAGTTCAGATTAAAATGTGCGAGAAGGCTCAAGGAATCCCAATACGCAAATATGTCGTTACGTTTCCTGCCTCGCGTCGCCTTCACAGGAGCCCATCACTGGACTAATGAATGAATATTAATGAAACGAAACGCAGTCGCCTGACCGGACGAATTTAATTACGGCTCGGTCGCATTCGTCTTCGTTAGCATCATCGCTACCCTCCGAAATGTTATTATCGAACGCGATGCTTTTGCGGGGAACCAGCCACAAATAACACACTGTATTCGAGGATTCATTTCATGTGCGCAATAATTCGAGAACTTTCTCGTTTCGTTCCGATTGTCCGCGGTTAATGTCACACGAGGCGGATGACATTAGCAATTAAAGGAGCAAAATATAATCAATGGATGTTAGGAACGTTGGTGGTTTTTTACGAGCATTTCGTTCGATTTCCAGAAGAGATTCTCTAATTCGTTAGAGAACGTGTTCCCGGAAAAATGGCCCCGAGTCGAGTCTATACGATCAACAACGCCGGCTACGTGAATTTCTCGTTTGCAGGATTAATATATCGAATCGCGTGAAAATTGGGAGATCGGTCTGTGTTGCCAACGGTATATTTCTTTGTCCAATAACCGAGGCAAACCGATGGAACAACGAGCATACCACGTACACACGAGCGTTTCGCGATCAAAATACAATTAAGTCGATCGATGGTGTTCATTCGTTCGACGAGCTGCTGGATTAGCGTAATTTCTCGTTGATCGAAATAAAAGTTAAATACGCGCAAAACCGTTCGGATACGATATTTCTCCGACGCGTGGCACAACGTGATATTAAGCGTTCAAACTGTTACACATTCGAGTCCGGAAACGGGGAAGTTCACTTGATCCTTGTGTACAATTTCGCGAAATTTCCAAGGAATGGAAACAGGTGTCCCGATCGTGAAACCAGTAACACACGAAACGAGTAGCTTATCTAAACAGTCTTCGAAACAACAAGATAACCAATTATTGTTACTCGCACAGGAAACCGTAAACTCGGTCGAACAGTTTCCGAACAGCGAGCAGCAGCGCGCAAGAAGGTTGTGGGAATTGTATCGTAACGCGACGGAAAAACCGGTGGATCGTTTACTTATCTGTACGGTCCACGGAAGGAAAGAAGCACAATTATTTGCATCGAGGCTCTCGTAGGAAAGTAGAGACAATAGCAACAATAGACCTAAGGAACTTACGAACGTGGCGTCAAATCGAAACAAAAAAGGGCAATAAGAATGGCTTTTCGAAGGGAATACAATTTTCATCGGCTCTCAAGTTTTATCTCACGATTTACGTTTAAATACATACAGCTTTTGTAATGGAAATCGAGCGATAAGTTTCCATGGATCACGACGCGCGTCCGGATGAACATTCCTCTCGACGTTATCGGCGTCCGCTTCTTTTTTCTCGGGCCTGTTCGAGAACTCCGCTCGAGGAAACGGCGAGTCATGCTTGAACTAACTTTCCCGAGCGTCGATTATCGAAATCTAGGTGTTACCGATTGCATTGAACGAAACTTCTCGTTACGTTTGGCTGAATATCACGTGGTCGCGAGACAGATCGCGTGTCTCGACCGTGGAACGTCGCGTACCACCGACTGACTTCCCGTTGAACACCTCGTCGAACGAGTTATTCGTTATGACGCTGTCCCGTCGAGCGATTCGTGTCCCGATGCCGTTCGTTCCCGTCGACTCTGACTTTAACGAAGATATATATATTCTATTAATGACCATTTATTATTAACAAGCTAATATAAATGGACGACAACCACCTTCACATTCCCCTGACTTTCATATGGATTACTCGCTCAATTCGATATAAAAATACTCGATATCGAAACGAAAGTATCGATTATTTACTTGTACTTACTTGAATCGATCCATCCCTAAATTCTTCATACGGCCCCGACGAAATTCACGCGGCGTGTAATCATCGCCAGGAGCGACATTAACCCCCTCCAACCAGGAGCCCTCGTTCACGGAACGACGAAAGCGTAATTTCTACCGTGACGTTGAAAGGGAGAAAAATTTCGTACAGTGGCGGCTTTTAATTACAAAAAGAGTTCCGCAGTTGAATCCTGAGTGCTCAACGATTCGACTCTTTCTCAAGGTCTGGAAAACTGCTGCAACATCGCTTACCACCAAAAGAGAACGCTTCGATCGAGTGTCGAATTTAATTACTTCGACGCTAAATTGCTTTTGAACACCCTTTTCAGTCGCCGGCACACGTTGCCATAAGGCGTGAATCGAAGGGAAAAGTTGGGAATTTCAAAAGAGGCTTGCGGCGAGCCTGGATCGTTGCTCGAGGAGATCAGTCTCGCGATACGTTACTCGGGCGGTGAACGCTAGGAATTCGCCTCCTTGTTGGAAAATCCAAGAGGAAATTCTTTGGTCGTTTGACGCGCGACTATCCGAATTCTAGAGCTGCGTCGCGACATCGAAATCTTTACCGGGTCTATTCGCGGACTTTTCACCTCGTGTGCTTTTTCACTGTCTTCGCGGTTACGGTTCTAGGAGGTTAATGTTACCAGCGTATCGTTTCCTCCCACCCACTCCTTCCCAGTCTAACAATAGTCACGTCACGATAACCAGGAATTATTGATTTCAGTGTACAGTCAAGCTTAATATTGACAGAATAGGACCGATAGCCGAGCAAACGGCCCGGGATTTCCGAAACGCCACTCTTGGCAGGTTGCACGCGTCCGTTGAGCATTATCTTCTGTGGACAGACAGTCGGAACTACTGATAGGGTGGCGGCGGGGGGGGGGGATGAATACAGCCAGGAACCGCGATAATTACCGCGGCGAAGGTATCCCGTTGTAACGAGAACGAGACGGTTCGCATCCGTGTCACCAATCTGTGGCCCGACCATGCATGTATCGTCCCTAATGCTCTCTCGGACTTGTTCCCCATTCTCAGAAACGGAACGGGGGAGGGGGACTGTACCTGGGGTAATTTCTCTCCGAAACACACACCCGGACACGACGGTAGAGTGGGTTCTCGTTCTGTCCGATAATCCTTATCGCGTCCAACAAAAGGAAAGTTAACCAGGAGAGAACGATAAAGTTGTATTAAATTTGGAACGAATTTCCAAGCTGTTTTCGCTTCTCCGAACTACACCACGAGGATCGTGAAATGTGCACCGCTTGACATTTAAATCGGTGGGCTGGTAATCGCAGCGTATGCTTAGGTCTATTTCCAACTGGGGGCTACCTACAGTCGATGAAAATTAAACCGCGCTTTGCATGTCACAGAGATCGTTAGCGCGCGAACTCACTCTTCCCCCCTATCATCGCATCTTCTCTAACATTTACGAGCGGAGAATTCCGTACGCAGCGATGCATCGTGGTAGTCCGCGGTTAATAAACGTAGCACGGTCATAAATTTTAATACCACTACCCGGGCACGCATCGTAAATCGGCGCCTAATTCGTCCATTACCCCTTCGCCGAGAAATTTCACCCTATCAAAGCAGCGCGCGCGCCAGTTACCCCGGTTCTGCCACTCCTCGTCGAGGGCTGAATTTCCGCGTCTACGAAATTATCCTTAGCGTGAAATACTCGTGGCCATCCATATTTTGATTCGTCAAATTTCATCGAAACGATTCGAACGAAAGAAAGAAATTTGTTTTCTGTGTCGATGCAAAAAACGAGACAAAAGAAATGTCCAATTTCATTGGTTCTGATAAAAGTGTGTTGGAAAGGGAAATTATAAATTCTGAGGGTTTCTATAAATGCGCTTGAACTTCCGGCTGGCCGGAGCAGCGGCACGAAGAATCGATAACGTATAATACATTATGCTTTCGGGGGCAGCTGTGTTCATTATTATAGCCTCGGGGCTATTATAATCCCGATGAAATATCACCATTATTATTATACGGGTATATCTAATCGAGATAACGTCAGAGGAGGTCAAGAGGAATCCGAGTCTGTTCCTCTGGTTATAATGTATTCGTTTCTTCGGGACTGTTGCGACCTTTAACGGATATTCGAAGAATAATCTGACCACATGCATTGTATGTACACAAGGATCATACACAACGGGCTGTTGCTGCTGTACGCGTCGAACACGCTCCACGACATTGTGAACGTGACCGCGAGCAAGAATTGGGATTTGTCCTGTTTCAAGCTGACCAAGGAGGTGTTCAGCGAAGTGATCGGCGCTCTTTACGTTCAACAGTACAGTCCTCAACATTTGGAGACTTTAGCCAATAGGGTGAGTTGCGGCAACCATCGACTTTTTTCCAGCCATAGAGCGATCGATCGATTAATATCGTAAAACTGGATTTTCCTCGGGGAAACAGGTGGGAGGACTGTTCGAGCGTGTGAAAGAAACGGTCGCTGAGCGAATCTTGGTGAAATCCTGGCTGGACGAGGAAACGAGAACCCAGGCGTTGCTCAAACTGAACTCGCTGCGGGGAAGATTTCACGTGTGGCCTGGTTTCTACAACGAGACTCTGCTGGCCCGCGAAATGACCGAGGTGAGAACGGTTCTCTGCATGCGACGCGCATACATACGTACACTTTCGATATCCACGGAGAGCTACGTCGTGTGACACGTCTATATATCCTTTTCCGACAGGTGAAAATCGATCCGGACGATTTCTTCCATAGCGTGTTGATGCGATTCCGACAGATCCGCACGGTGGACGACAAGGTTCTGAGGAGGAACGCGACGGAAAAGTAAGAGAGAAAGAGAGATCTGTTTGGAAACATTTCAACCGTCTCAGGATTGTATTCGTGAACTTTGGATTTTATGTTCTAGACGACGCCATCCGTACAGCGTGAACGCTTACTACGAGTCATCGACGAACACAATTGGTAAAACAAAGTTCCTTGAGTTCTGCCCTCCTTAGTTAAAATGTCCTATCTAACAAATTATCGTTTTCCAAATATTTCAGCTCCGTATGCTTTTCACTTTTTAATTAAAGTAAAAAATATAATTAATTATTTCATGATAAAGAACTAGGATGACATCAAGAAAATGGTAAAACCCCATTTCTCTCGGATGTCTGAATATGTCAGCTAGGACAATTGAGCTAAGGAAAGCAGTGTTATTCGAACAAGGATCCGAACGGATCAGAACTGTCTTATTTGGTTATTCCAGGCATTCCGTTGGCGATGATGACAGCCTGGTCATGGTCCTGGGATGGTGGTCCTGCGTACGCAGCGCACGCGACTCTGGGATCGGTGATCGGTCACGAGATTCTTCACGCGTTCGATCTCCATCGACGTCGTCTACCGATGGATCCCGATCTGAACGTCGAGCAATGGCTCTGGATCACGCCAGAATCGTGGAAGAGGCTCGAGGCGAGGATCGAGTGTGTCGCGAGGCTTTACGCGAGGAGCTTCTGGAAGAAGGTTCAGTTTTACGGGAACGACGTCGCTGTACAGGTAGACAACGAGCGTTTAAAAGTTAACAAAACCACGGTAAATAAGGTCATGGTTGATTGGAAAATTTATTCTCTCAGTTCGATTGGAACGTGACGAGGAACGAGAACGTGGCGGACATTGGAGCGTTGCAGATTTCTTATAAAACCTGGCACACTCTGACGAATGGGAGGGATCGAAGTCTTCCCGGATTCGAGGGACTTCGTCCGAGCCAGCTTTTCTTCATAAGCGCCGCCCAGGTGAGCCGATCGATTACAGAAACGTAGATATATCACCCGAAATATGTTTCACCGTTAAGCGTTCGAACGATCTCGTGTTTCAGACTTATTGTTCTAATATGACTGCCGAGGCCTACATTCTCTCCGTTGAACTCGATTACCACACACCGCAGCCTGAAAGGTATACCATGGACATTGAAATTTCACATTTCTTTTCCATTCGTTGTGTTTGTGCTCTCTGTATAGCTGTTCCATCGACAAATTTTTTTGGCTAATGTAATACAGGATTCAAGAAGAGCTTTATGACACGAGCATTAAGAAATGTTCGATAAACAGTTTGCAGTAGAATAATCTAAACTGGATCTCGTTTCGCAGTTCATCCTCCATACGATTAATAATCTGTTCAGAGTCAACGGTATACTGATGAACTCCCAAGCGTTCGCGGACGCTTTCCGTTGCCCGATCGGAACTAAAATGAACCCCCCGAACAAGTGTACCACCTGGTGATGATCAGGCGCGGACGATCGTTCGCCGATAACTTGAGACTTCATACGCGAGTACCAGTTGTTGATCTATAATCCATTGGGATTCGGCTCGGAACAGCGGCGTCTTGCAGTTTTGCAGACCGAATCGACGAAAGGGTCTTGCCACTTTTTTCCAGTGTTTGTCGAGCGATCCTGCGTTGGAGGGAATCGGTTCAGGTACCGAACACGATTCGAACAAACCAACTTTTTTTTCTCAGTGAAAAACTATATATGTATGCCACGTATGTTTTTTTTTAGGAAAAGGCAACAACGTGGACGAGCATATACGTGTTATGACGGAGGATCGATCGATAGATCGGCTTGTTAAGACCGTTAAAGGAATGGATTCAGGATGGCCGCGCGTGTGGGAGCCGATCTCCATTCGGTCGTCGACGGAATACTCGTTTAACAAACGCGCCATTAAACGTTAATATCTCTCCCTACGACGCTTTAGAGGACCTTAGATTTTATTCTAGTGAAAGCAATAAAAATTTTACGGAACATCAAGACGAGACAGAAAGGGAGAAAGGGAGAAAGAGAGAGAGAGAGAGAGAGATACACGCAAACATTATACACACGCAGGATAAGCAGATCACAAAAGCGCTTCAGTTGTTCAGTTTTGCGAGGTAGAATGTCGAATAAAAGCTTGTCGATGGAATTAGCGATCGATGTTGTTCCTTAGCGGGACGAACAAGAATTCTTTTTCCGATAGGCAAGGACCGCGTCGGACGCGCGATCCAGAAAAATTGTGAATGGGAGAACAACTTACGAATATTGTACGAACAACAAGCATCGATTAACGAATTTATTCGCGAAGACTGGAACTTCTCGAAGCGAGTTTTTCCTGTTGAACGAGAAATTGCGTTCGGTGGTTCCTGATATTGTGTACCGCGCGAACTGTAAACATTTACGAAGCGGATCCTATTTAGTTTCTCGCGCACCGATTGTCTTCGCTCTTGTGTAGTCTGTAAACTCTGTAAATACGTGTCCCAAAATATCTCTCTCACCTCTTCAGTTTAGTTTTCAGTTGACCCGGAACAGCGTGAAGGTGGATCCGCAACTTCGGTGTTAACGAATTCACCGATCACATCCGGTCTGCCTCCGATTCGCTTCGGACCATACACACGCACGTACACACGTACACAGTGACACGCATACACGCGCGACGATCATCTCGACTACATACATAGTTTACCTTGCGCTGGTTCAGCCGAGTGTTTAGAGACCAGGCTGATTAGAGCGTGCTTTTATTCACCTGTATTTCGCTCGGTTCTTCTCCGTACACCGGCACGAGTCTCTTCGATTTAAACGCTTCGCTTTTTATTCGTGACACCGTTTCGCTCGGTTCTAAAGAGACAACAAAAAATTAATGGAAAATCCGGGGTTTCAGTTGACCTAACCCAGTCGATCCCGACGAGCAGCTCACCAGTGAACAACCGCGACCTTTATAACAAAGACTAGACTTGCTTCTTTCGTTTCTATTCAATTATAAGATTCACTTTTCACGTCGATGCATTTTTCACGAAATCTTAAGATTCTTCGCTAGATTTACTTTTACGAGTTTCGATGCTATAACAGGGTCTCACCCAACGCGACTACCTTCGATATCTCACTTGTTTTTGGAAGATGCAAATAAATGTGTATTATTTAGTTAGAACAAGCAAATACTACGATAAGCGAAAATTTTTCTCAAGGTCCTAATGTTTCTGTTTAACGGGACTATGTATTTTGACCAGCGTGGCGTAATAGTTGAGGTCAAGACCAATCCAAAGACCTTCGTGTGACCTTGAGTACGAAAAATCCACAAATGTATGAGAGTAGATTTACATACTAACATAACCACGATCGAGGGATTAGTGGAAAAACGTATCGAAGTTGATGGACATCGCTTTGAGCATTTAGTAGAATAAAATTTCTGCAAAACAAAAGCAAGCGAGATATTAAAGGTGCTCACGTTACGTGGGACACCGTGTACATGCCAACGACACTAGCGGAATTATCGAAGACTCGTTATTTTTAAGCATTTCTCACCACGAGTGTTTTTCTAATACGGCACTTATTTGATTGTTCTGCTTAATTGGAATAAACGCCCCCGGTGTGTCATAGCGCGCTGTTCGTCGCGACGTCCGTTATATCTCCCTTGGTCGTCGAACGGAGAATACTTATACTGTTTTCCGCGCGAACCGCAGACGTGTCATCGTCGTGAGCCGACGGCTAGCGAAGGTTGTTACAATTTTAGTGCGTTTACGCAAGGATTGCGATCTGTGATATTCTTAAGCAGTACTTAAGCGACCAGAGAGGGATCCGTTCTGGGCGTGCGTTCTCGATGGCCAAGACGAACGAACACTGAACGACGAAAAGGATCTTCTGGATCCCTTTGGTGTCCCTGAGACCCCATATTCGTGAGACAAGGCCATCGTCGACGACGTTCGGGCGTCCCTTGTCGAATCGAAAGCATAAAGTCACGTTATTTAAACACCGTTGTAAATGTAAATGGCTGACAACTCATATGGCAAATAAATATGATTTATATACAATCCCTGTGGACTTGACCCAGACCCTTGATTTACACATAGACATAGAAGTAGAAAAAAAAAATACGAACATCCCATGATGCTCCCGAAGGAGCATGCGGTATGACGACTGCTATAATTCTTTTTAATACCTGTTTCTAAACTGGGGACGCCCGTCGTTTTCAGGGAGATACACAGTCTATATTTCTATGTCTACAGATTTACTACAGACACATCGAAATGTGATCCCGTGAATCGACCAACCGAGAACTTCAAATCGAAGAGTCGTGCGTAATTCGAAGGCAAGGAGAAGAGATTCGATTCCCGACTCGATCGACGCGGACTGGAAACAAACGAGAATCTCGACGTTTCTCTGGCATCTAACCCCAACGGTGAACTGGAACCTGGAAACGTAGCCAAGTCGTACCACCGTGCAACCAGAAACCGTTGAATATTTACCACGTTGACGCTACCTTAACAGTTTCGTTTTCCTTTTCTCGCACCCCGTACGTATGCACAAAGATTGTCACGGGGCTGAGAAATCGAGGCTGCAGGCGTGCGTCCAAGAATGATTTCACGGAACGACGATCCACCATGTCACCGGCTGGCTGGCATCTCCTGATCCTCTGGGTAACGCGAGAATCAAACTGTCAACGATTTCCTCCGTTCCATTTATTCCCCCGTCCCCCCGTCGACTGTCCCAGTCTGGAAACAAATGACCGAGAGTTTCCTGTTCGAGACCTTCGCGTTATTTATCGTTCGATCGATCCCTGCAGATGACACTGGTCCCTTGTCCCAGAATGACCGCGACACGTTCTCCCCACGTGCGGGGATTCGAGCACGTTCCTTCGCGGCTTCATCCATCGAGGAATCCTGCGTGTCGATCCCGATTCCCCGGCGATCAGAAGACTCGCGACGACACCAAAGGCTGGGATCGTCCATCGATCGAAGTCAGGGCGGTGCTTGCTCCTTGCTCCGTATTCGCGGTGGACAAGTACCATGTTGTTCTGTTAACGCGAAATTCTAGGATAGCGGATAATTCCTTGATTCTTTGTGCTATTCCGATTGCTTTGCAGAATGTTCGATATCAGCGGCGATAATGCTCGCGTGGAACGTAGCTACGACGAGGATCGATGGACCATAAAGAATTGCACGCAGAAAATTGTTATCAACATGAAATTCAACAATATCGAAACGGTGAATACTTTTTCATCTCGATGTTTCAAGTACACACCTCCGTCGTATCGATCTTCTAGATTTATTGTACTCGATAGACCGACACGCGTGACAAATTCGTGGTGATCGATCACGCGGTGGACCCGGGGACCATGAGAAAATTTCCTCTCCAGAATCCGTACGTGATCAAGGTCCGCCAGGAGGCGGTGTTGCAAATGTACGGATTGAAATTTCAGAGTGTGAGTGTAACGATAGATTCGAAAAAGAAACGATTTGATCGATATTGGTTCCTCTGCTGGTAACTTATCGCGTCGGAGATGGGAACTGCATCGCGATCGGTGGTCAGGAGGGTCGCGAGTGTCTTATCGGGCCGCGATAACAGGATGGTTTATCAACGGGTCGCGGTTTTATCCATCGTTGATTCGATGTACCAGCAGAGGGAACGATGGAATCACGCGGGGCACGCTCATTGATCGAGAGACTTTGAACAAGGTTGTTAACGCAGAGGCGAGAGAGGATGTGATCAACAACGAGACCCCGAATTACAGGGGCTGCTACGTTGACCCTGAGAATCCGACTTGCGGTCAGACGTTATTCTCACGAGGGGAACCAGTCCCTTTCAGTCAGGTAAAAGTTACCGATCATAGTTTTCGAATGAAAGGTAGTAGAGCTCTTTTCTATTATCGCTCGTATTTACTCTCGTATCAAATATCTGTACAATGATCTATTTACCTTTATTCTATGTACTCGCTCGGTGTAGTCGGACGGATAACATCCTTCGATTGCACGCAATAAAATACAGGAAACATTTCCGTTGGTATAACTATCGGACGGTATTAAATAACCCTGTGCGAAACAATATTGCAGGGTTTCTGTTGTTCCTGCAGCCCCATAGTAAACTCGGGACCTCGATCGTACGGGTCGAACGACTCCTCGGAAAGTTTCCCCGGCGGGGCCAAGTCAAGCTACAACGACGACGGGGCAAACAAGCCTGGCAACAGGTTACGGACGGCAACCAAATACACGAGTTCGAACGACAATCCGATGGCGCGGCGCCAGAGCAACGGGACGAAAACTGCTCGATCGTGGAAGAAGTCAAACAAGCCGGAGCACGACGGAAATCCCGATAGAAGTCTAACAATCGGACACGATCGGCCAGTGTCCGACACTGGCCGGGGGAAAGGGGACCAGTTGATCGATCCGGTGGTCTCCTCGAGAAGAACGGAAAACCAAGAAGCCGAGCACCACGGTGGATTTCTTGCCTCGAAGACCAGTGAAACGTCGTCGGTCCACT